TCTGTAGAATAAAGGTAACAGGAACAACCTCTGAGGGCTTTTGAGAGAATTAAGCGAGACGGCACATTCAAAGCACTGAGACTCACCCTGCACAGAGAATGCTCAGATATTTGTTGTGAGAATGAATGACAAGCACCGCCAAGAGGGAAGGAGTCGGGGCAAGGGCTGTTCCCAGGCCCAGGAGCACATGTTCACATCATTCCTTCCCCGGTCTCATATCAGAGCCAAGATTTAAGAGATGAAGGCAGGCCATGTGACAGATAAAGAAGGAAGGAGGAAAAGAAGGCAGAACCAGATGTGACCCAAAGACTCAGCACTGTTTTCCAGAACTGACCTCAGGAGAAGGTGCAAAGCAGAGCTGTGGGGATGCGGCCAGGCAAGTCCCTCTTTCCCTCACTGCCCCCTGAGCAGTCTGAGAAATGTAAAACTAACCCATCATTTGATATTTCTATCACTTCCCCATCTTTATTCTCAAACTGTAAGTATCAACTTATCTGAATTTTAACCAACGTTTTAGAAAAACAAAATCCCCAAAGTTCTAGTGGGGGTTTAATGCTCAGACTTTTTCTGTAAGATAAACAGTAAAAATATCTTTTTCAAAAAAATGATTTTTTCCAGATTCTTCCAAGTACTCAAAACAACATGCAACCCCTAACTTTAAGTTACCTTGTCTAGACCCAATTACTGTTTTAACCAGTCGGTACGTTATCACCTCAGAACTGTAATTATGTTTATGCCTTTTGAACAAGCTGATGAAAAGAAGCATTTGCTTAAGGTTCCCATCAATGAATGCAGAGCTTAGACTAGTCTTTAGCTTATACAAACGTTATGCTTATTAATTCAGAATATTCATTCAGTTATTGAAACATGATGACAAAACTGTACAGTGAAAGACTGATTCTCTATTATCCATGTTAGCATTGCACAGAAATCCTTTGGCTCAGGAATAACTGTCCGAGACTCAGGATTCATATATCTCTTTGAATTTTTAAAACGGTGATTTAGGTATCAAAACTGTCACATCAATGCTCTGAATACACAGATTATAAATTATCAAAATAAGTCCATTCTGATTAAGAACTCTCCAGCTGGATTTCAGCTTAAGAAATTCAAGCACTGCCTATGTGAAGTCCAGTCCACGCCAACAACCACAGCGTCCTTTTTAATTAAAAGCCAGTGAGATGACTCATGCCACCTGTTTCATTGATCCTGCTATATTCCTATTTTGGTCAGGGTTCTCTTTGGGGGGTGAAAACTTTTATGAAAACAAATAGAAATATTTATTCAAATTGATTACTACTATTTCACATCCTGACAACTACATTTCCTACTATAAAATCATATGTTAACTGTAATAACCCAAGGATTATTCAAAGTGACAATCGCAGTGGCAAATGTAGCTGGTAGAAGGGCCAGTAGCTAGAGAAGTTATTGCATACTTTCACACATCAATGGAAATAGCCTTTCTAAAATTTGTTATCGACCCATAAAAGTAGATCCTTGAAAATCTGCCTACTTAGATACATTTCAATGGAATGTTTACATCTCAATAAGTATATTGAACAAAATGAAATGTAACAAATCCAGGGAGAGGAGAATGGTGAGGGGTGGGGGAAGGGGTGGTCACCATACTTTTATGGCTGGATCCAAATAACACATGATTAATTGTTGCAGCTCTCTAGACTTTGAGTTCAATGTGGATCTGATAGAGAGACTTCTGCAGAAGCCCTGTACTCAGACAGCAATCTGCTCCCACTTACAGAGCTTACCAGTGGGATTTGCAAGCTGTCCATATTATATTGCCTTATTGGCCATCATTCTAGTCACTCATCAATCAGCTGTGAAGACAGGAGTAAAATAAAGGGGAAGAAAAGGTGATGGTGTAGCTGCACTGTCTGCCTAGGTGAGGTGAAACCTTTCCTTTTAAACACAATAAAGAACGTAATCAATGTTAAGCAGAGGAACCCTTCACAACCCACAGTACCAGAGATTCCAACTACTGCCTACTCTGTTGTTCAGAAACTCTTCCTTTAAGCAAAATGCAGCAAGGCTCTAACCATGGATTCCCAGTGGGTTACGTGAGAAACAAGATGTGGAGAATGATTCTCACAGGCCAGCGGGCATGTGAGTCAGCTGGGGTCCTGAGGCATCTCTCAGAGATTTGGGGGCAGTCACTCCCTGGTGGGCAGGCGATCAGGCCTTGAAGGAGTCCTTGGGGACACCCAGGGTAAGAGTTTGGGGCTCTAGGAACTGTGAGAAGAGTTAAACAGAACCCAGAACACATGATGTGGCTTGTGGCCTCCCCCCAAATGCAAATGAGAGCTTGACAAACGGAACCCGCAGGCACCCAGCTGAAGTCTTAACACCCAAGCAGATCCTTTTGTGAAATCCATCCCTCTCTTCACCACGTCACTCACATTAGCCTGTTACATGAAGTCTTTTGTGTTTTTCCCTTTACTACACACATGACTCATACAGGGAAGCAAAGTGAGCTAAGAGTTCAAGGGCACTTTTGACTAGAACCAGATGAATTGTTGCAGTTGCCTGGGAAACCTCTGAAGACAAGCATACTTGATATGTCAAATATCTGCAGTTAACATGAGCCAAAGTCATCTAGAAGGTAACTCCAAGAAAGCTAATGGCATAAGAGGGACGTTTGGCTTGTAAAAGTAGTTCCAATTTGTTATGTGCTCATGAACTTTTGAAAAGGGGAAAGGATTTTATCATCCTAATTAGCGTAGAAGAATGATGGTCTTAAATGCTAACTTTCAGATTACAAAATAAAATTTAGTGAAAAGACATTTAGATCCCCTAAACATTTATGCATAGACCATGAAACTAGAGTTTTATAATAACCATGGAACAAAATATAACATGTTCCCATAGAATTGCCCCCTCAGATTCTTTGGAATTCTGTTCCAGTGTAGTGGGTTTTTCTTCCAGACTGCCAGTATAAAATGTGTGTCCGAGGTAGAGTATCACACGTGTTTTATTATAAAACAAAGAATGTTTTCTGTGGCAATTCTGAGAAGAAAAAAAATTAACAAGTAAAACAATGGACTTTCGTTTTGCATCAAGGACATATGCATTTAATGGGAAACTTTCTAAGCTGCATTTTGCTTCGAATGCTCTGTTGTGTAGGGATTCTTAAGCAAATCTGAATTTGTGATTTTTGCAATATTTTTATCAGAAAAAATCACTCCGAAAAGTTGCATAATAAAAAGCTGTGCACATGACTAACACTAGGCTTCACATAGTTTTTTGTCATAAAATAAAAGGAAAATCGAAGTGAAAACATCTCTGATGACCTCAGGGAATTAAAAATCTGTCCCTTGCACCTCAATCCTTCCATATTGAGGGGCCCTTTTCGAGATTAACATGTTTGGGGAGTTTTGTTATTATTTCAGAGATCTATGACTTTGGAGGAAGACGCTGTCCAGAAAGAAAATATCTACTTTCATGCAGATATTTTCACTTCAGGTGTCAAGACGACTGTCTGGAAACGCCTCGGAGAGTTCATTGCTCTGCACTGCCCTCTGCTGGTGAGCCTGTGTAAACGGTTTCCGGAAAAAAGTCCAGTGCGGACATCGTTTCTCTCCTACATTCCCACCCCAATTCATCAACGCGTTGCTCAGAGGTCTGGATTTCCTACGGGGCGATGTACAGAGCTGAACTTAAATTCAAATAGTTTAAAGGAATAATCAAAATAAAGCCTTTTTCATCTTGGAATTTTTTATTTTCATTTCGTGTTGGAAATAGAGGTTTTCTCAGCCAACGCACAGTCACAAACTAAGGACTCTGTCTCGCCTAAAAGGTTTGGTTACACAGTCAGTAAGAAAAATGATGTTATTTTTGAATATATTTAATGTAGGGCTATGTTGCTAAGAACGTCATTTTTATCTTGGCCGCATGAACATGGCTTACAAAAGTATCATTTCTTTGGCATAAATTATTTAGATTGATCTGAGGGAGCCATTCCTGCTAATTTGACGGCAATTTACCTGAAATAGTTAGAAAGATCAAGGCTCCAAGTTGTAGGCAACAAATGCAGCCACCAATCAGAAGCTCTCCCGGGCTGGAACACCGCTGTGAGCCTCACTGCCTGCGCCCCTCCAGTACAAGTGCTTTCCTTAACCACAGTCATGAGACAGAAAACTACACAGTCCTGAGAACAACAGCTAATTTCTATGCGAGCTGGAGAAACAATCTCGTCATAGTGCTAACATTATGTGTATATATCGTACCAACAAATAAAAGTGGTTATTATGCTTTGCTTAAGAAAATCATCTACAATCCCAAGTACTGCGTAGTGACCAATGCAATCTTTGTCCCTCTGAGCCTCCTTTAAACACCCATTCAAAAGTCCCAAATAAGGTTCATTTTCAGCAACCTAAATTAGCTAGAGATTTTTTTTAATCTTATGGCTCAAAGAAAGAACCATGAAGTTTGATTCCTCAGAGCCCACATTCCAGTAAACAGTCATATAGCATGCATATGCTGCAGGTCTCCTATAGCGACAAGCAAATGGTTCAAGTACTCAACGTGTCTCCATATTTGATGCTTATTATGTGAAAGCAACAGATGTACTTCTCATCTGAGCACAGAAGAAGCGATGTTTTAAAAAATCCTAAATAGAAGATAAGTCAGTCCCAGTGCAAATATAAATCTAAAAGAAATTCCATACTGTACAAGTGACTGTTGCAATATTAAATACATTGACTTTTTAGCAGAACTGTCTGCTGAGTATCATACTCAGTCAGATGCCCTCAACCTGGTGAACACGTCTTTGGCTGCATTAAAAACAACCCAGGTGGCTACCGATGGCCACGGGGGACACAGGGCTTCCATGCCCATGCCCAGGAGACAGAGGGGCAAAAGGTGAGCCTTCCATCCTCCCTCTGCCCGTCCCGCCCCAGTGGTATGTGTTTTCTCTCAAAGTTCAACCCAGTGTGATGTAATAAAATAACCTAAATGTACTTTTTCCAATATTTTTTTCTTACCTTTACCTGGCGAATGTCTACAGGTGTGTCGAAAGTTATCTTTTCCTGGATGTGTTCCAAAATGCTCTTATGCTATTTCTCTTAGGATTTCTCCACGCTGCCCCATTCAGAAATTTTATTATTTTCTAAAGAAGGAAAAAAAATGTGACATGAACATTATCATAAGAAAACCATTGATTTTCAATCAAAGCTACACAAATGCCAAACCAATGTGAGTATCACCTTCCACAACGCTACCAGGCACTGGTTTTTGTGTGGGATGATGCCAGGAATCTCTCTTCATGTGGCTTTATTAAAAGCCATGGTTTCTGAGATGTCAAACAGCCACAGTTACCTCAATCATTTTTTTCTCCTTACCTCTAGTATTCCCGTGAGGTCACATTCAGTTAAAAACATCCTGCCCTTCTCCCTACAAAAAGGTTCCATAGAATCAGAACGCAGAGGCGCTGCAACTTGCTAACTTTGCTCTGTGTTATTTACCAACCGCACAAAGGAAATGCTGTCTATTCAGAACTCATTTCAAAACTCTTTTCACTGAGAGTGAGCGAACAAGCGGGCTCATGTCCCGAGCCCAGTCACATCTCCAGCGGTCCGGTGATGGCCGTGGGGCCGGCGCCGAGTGGCACGGCCTCTGCGTTGACCCACAAGGGTCTGTTGTCCACGCCGCGCGGACCACACAGGCCGACGGGAGTCAAGAAAGGGGGAGGGGCGGGGGCTCTTGCACTTTCTCATCCCGAGTTTCTTTGCTTGTTTGCCCCAAATATCTGGCGGGAGGCAGCCCTCTCCCCTCCAGGCGCCTTCATCCTGGACGTGCAAGATGTCCCTCCAGTGACAAATACAGAATCTGCTCGGTGGGCCTGGGTTCGAGGCCCGACCTCATCACTGGGTTACGGCGTGTGGGTAGGTTGTTTAAACCACCTGGAATTCAGTTTCTCTTTGTGTTATGGTGATAGTGATTGTACCTGGCTCACTGGGTTTGACGAGTAACTGGATTTTAGGACAGACTCTCTCTCTCCATCCAGCTGAGGCTGCAACAGTCAGATCTTGGTAGGAAAGTTACCCTCCCCACGTGCCACAGAGTGCGGAGGAAACAGCCCAGGGACTTCTTTAACGACTCCGGATCCCTCAGCCAGATCATGGAAATGGAAAAAGCTCAGATTAGAAAGAGGAGTTTCTAAAGGGACCTCCTTGACCTCCTGTCCCACGTTCCCAAGGCCCATGGAATAGGGGCTTCAAGGCTTTTTCCTGCAGCTGGGAGACAGGAGCCGGCCACACAAACCCAAGCAGACCATGTGGCAGGGTCTGTCCCAGAATCTGCCTAAGACAGCAGAGGAGGTGGCAAACAGCTTTGGGGGCAGAGCCAGAGGCCATGGACAGATGCAGGCAGCACAGACTGCACCTGCTGAGTGAGGGTGGGGTGGAGGAAGGAGGAGAATGAGAGTTCCCAGGAAAAGTTGTGTGTCCTCGGCCAGCAAGAGAAATCCTGTCCAACGTGTGCAACCAAGGATCCTTGGAGGTAGGAGGAGACCCAGGCAAGAAGGGGCTGAGGGTCATCCATTGGACAGCCAGGGCTGAGGAAGGTATCCTATCGTCCGGTGACGACCTGAAAGAAGGGAGATACACCCACCAGGAATGAGGGAGCTGCAAGAATAAGGGAGCTGCTGGGGGCTTCCAAAGCCTCAGCGCTCCGGAGAGTCCATCATAGAGAGCTGACCCAAACCATCTGCCAGATCAGAAAATAGGACACCAGCCAGCCAGGTTAGAAGAGGCGGAATTTCCTACCTCTCCTTCCTGCATGCACCCAACATGCGCCCTACGACCATAGCAGTTGCGCTGAGATGGCATGGGAGCAGGGGCAGGGAGAGAGCAGAGCCTCCTCCTCCTCAGCCTCCCCCCTCACTGCAGGCACAGACAGGACATGCAGGGGCAGAGGTAGCTAGGCCAAGGTCAGTTTCTGATTATTACATGGGACCAGACACTGTTAAGTGCTGAAATGAAACTGCTTCTGTGATTCCAGTTGACCAGAAGACTTTCTGGATTGAGAGTGGAAGAAGAGCCATGGGCCCTGCCAGAGTTTTCATCCAGGGGTCATGGATGTTGGGTCCAATGAGTAAAGTTTACCAGAACAAAAGAACAAAATTTAGTTGTATTTTGGCTCTGTTTAGTTGCGTTTTTTTTAACGTATCAATTACTTGAACTGCATATGATAAACTCCTCTGCTGGACTGGAAGCTGCAGGAAGACAGAGACCCTGCAATTTCTGTTTCTTGAGATTTCTCCAGAGTCAAGGACCTGGCCCATGGCAGCCAGCTAGCTGTCCTGCCTGTTCTTATTTGGCTGTTTTATTTTAAGCTATGCCTATTCATTTTAGTCTTTCTAGAGTAATCTAGATCAATATATTTTTGCTCAAACTTCTTGACTGCCTCTAAGACATTCCTAACACTACATTAGTTTTTCTTTATGTACCTTCTCCAAAAGCTCTCTCTCTCTGCCCCTCTGTCTTTCAAACAACCTTATATATCTGTAACATTATACCGCATATACAAGGCACAAGTTGGGTCTTATGCAAGATCTGATGGTTGGCAATCAAAAGAAGACTAATCAAAGAACACCTCAGCAAGCTTACTGGAGAAGCTCAAGGCACATCACAAAATCCATCAAGATTTTTTTCTTGTGAGTTTCTCTTTGTGGATCAACATTGATCTTTTTTCCAGAAAAAGAAAAAAACACACCAGAACTTTTTCCAGCCGTTCCATTCCTTTTACACCCTACCCCATCCCACATGCTAAAGAATTTCCAAGAAGGGCTTCACCAGCTACTTCTCCACTCTGGGTTGCAGATAAGTTCAAGTATTTTGAATGGCACAGAAGCGATTTCACTTTGGCCAAAAGAGAAACTCAGGGGAATGAAAAAACATCAAAGGCAAGCCTACTTGTGAGCTTCCCAAACTGAGCGAGTTTGGGTGCAGCATATGTAGTCTCAGTTTTGGAAACCACAATATGCCATTCATCCCTAACTAGATGACGGGACAGAAATGTTGTTACTGAACCAACCAAGGAAAATATGCTTGCTGATTACCCAAAACAAACTTGCAAAATTCAAATTTTCAAATGGGAAAATTCTTCTTATGTATAATTTTGAACTATTTTTTTTCACTTGCTAAGTGAAGATGAGGCATATTTGGAAAGATGGGGCTCTTACCTGATAATATATGAATCAAGAACAAAAACAATGGTTGCTTAAGAAAATTCCAGAATAACTAAGCAGAATTTCTTCCTCAAGATGAGAATGGGTGTGTGTGGAGAAAGAGTGGGTGATGTCAAGGATACCGACATTAAAACACAGACCTTTGGGGCGTGTGATTTGGTTCAGCCAATGAAACACAACTATTGATTCCTTTTGTTACTGAAAACCTTTCATCCATTCATTAGGGAACCCCATTCACAGCACCTCTCTCCTGGGCTGTAATGCGGTCTTCTCTCCTAAGAGCTGATGTTGAGGCCCAGGTAAAGCTGACAAAGAAAGCTGAGGAATTTCCACTGGGGCCACCCCAGGGGCACTGCCTTGGGAGACACAGCCACAGGGCTTTCCTACTGAGGGCAGCCTCTTGACTCAGCTCATTTTTTCTAATTCTCCATCTCCCTCCTCACTGAGAAAAAAAGCCATAATAGAGACTCTTAATCCGTCCAAATACAAATCCTACTTATTTGTCCATCAGTTATCTCTGGACTTCCAAAGCACATCCACAAAGCATTTTATCTACAGGTACCTATTGTTGAGGGCTAGAGTCTTTGGAGAAGTTGAATTTGCCGTAATCTATCTATACACAAATACTCATCAGTCAATAAGAAGCTATTACTATGAGCAATGGCGGAACATTCCAGCAAGATGGCAGAATCTAGACAGCGTTCCACAAAATGTGCTGTGAGATACTGAATTTCTGGCTGCTTCAAAGTGTTTATCACTCGCTAAAATGGCCATTTTATTAAGTACTCATTTTTTTAAAATATCATTACAACAGTCATATAGTTGTCTTCTATTCAGAAATAACTGCTGCCTAGGATTTGGAGTTTGCCGTTTATTTTGTTTGGGTTTTTCCCCTGGAATACTAGATTTATTTGAATCAGAGAATGAACAGCAAAGGTTGACCTAACATTTATCCTCAAATCGTGGCTCCTAGGGGAGTCAATATGACAAGATGATAACCTAATAATTATTGGAGGAGAAGACATTTTCTCTAAAAAACTGCGCCCAAGCAAAATAGGTAATGATTACTCATGCTCGGATTCCATAGCTTTAATTATCAGCTTCTGAAGATGCCTTTTGGAGGCTGCAGGCAGCACTGGCAAAGATGAAAAGAAAAAGAAAGCGTTTTGCTGGCAACTTATAAAGTACAACTAGCACCCCCATCTCCACCGCGCGGCAAAATGCACAGCCTCAGCAGGTCACGCGGGATCAGAGCTACAGAATGGGCGTGAGAAGCTGGCCGGGCCACAGCGGCCACGTGTCTCCAGCACTGTGAACCCAGGACGAGGGAGCCCACACATTCCTGATTCTTTTCCCTTGAACCATGCCAATTTTTTTTTTTTACTTCTTTGAGAAACCCGTGGGTGGGCACAGATGGGAAGTGGGAAGCTGCAAAAGGGAAGAAGATGGTATTGGAGTGGAGCGCGGAGCCAGGCGCGCCTCCGCAGGCGCGTCCTCGAACACCCAGATGGCAGGGCCCTGCGCTGCGCTCCCCGGCCCCGCCGCCTCCGCCGCGCCCCCTAGAGGCCGCCAGCGCCGAGGAACCGGGCCCGGAGCCGCCCCGCCAGGCCTGCCTACTGACAACAATAAGCCCCCTGGCTGCCGCTCAGCATGCAACCGGTTGTTCCCTGCACACGAGAAACATTTCTAAAAAGCAGCCTCGGATTAAAAGAAAGACAGTTGATGCTGCTCTCCAGTGTTATAAAAGGCTTGTAGCTTTATCACTGCTGCATACGTGCAATTTGATGCCATTAATTTAAAAAGCCTCTTTACTTCTCACTTTCAGGTGAGCCCCGAACTCGGCTTAGAGAAGGGGCTGCTCTCTATGCATCCAGAAAACATCAAAGCGGCAGTTTCCTAATGAAGTCCCAGCAAAGACAGTCGGGTTAGGAAACGTTAGCGCAGCCTGGAGACTCTGCGTGCAGCACACGTGCCAGGTAGGCAAAGAGGCCAGAGGAAAGCAGGTCGGCCAGGCTGGGAGCAGGTTGTTCCCAAAGCTGGGGGGAGGGGAGCGGTGCATATTGACGCCCTTATATCTACATGTAGGTGAGCCTGCCTCCGAGAGCGGCCGAGCGGCCGGTGACGGTAATCTGTGCTTTCTGCTCTCTGGAAGAAGACAAGCTGATGAGGAGGAGGTTTTGACGACAATTAAATTATTAGCACAAGGCAGCTGCAGGAAGCTGCTCGGTGGCCGCCCTCCAGGACCATTTCTCAGGCTCCCTTGCAGTTCGCGGTTGGTAGGGGCCTCTCCCACACCCAAGCTTCCCTCCCGTGGTGTGAGATGGGGAGCGCACACGCACGGTGGGCTGGATGGGAGGACTGAGGGGCTACCCCCTGTGAAGGCTGGGCCCAGGGCCAACACGTGGGTGCTCCTGGAGGCTCAGCTCCCTCCTCTCCCTTCTTCATCCAGCTCCCTCCTCTCCCTTCTTCATCCAGCTCCCAAACCTGCCCCATATGAGTGGTGCCCTGTACATCCACACACCCCAGCACGAATATTGTAAGCAAACTCATGCCTCAATTCCAGCACTGGGAAAATAAAAACACACGTCCACTGAAAGCTGCCTGAAAAGACCTTGGTATCCAGGCATGTTCTAGAGAAACCGTTTTTTACGTTTTTATGGTAGCAGAGCTTTTCCTCTGATGCTTAACTGTCACCCCAAAACATACAGGAGCCAAATCACCATGATGAGAGAGAGGCATTAGACTGCGGTTATTGAGAGCATGACTCCAGCCCGCCATGTAAGCTCCTCGGTAGGCTGATGCAGGAGGTTTGCTTGAGCCCAGGAGGTGGAGACCAGCCCAGGGAACATAGCAAGACCTCTCTCTCTACAAAAATCTTAAAAATGTAAAAAACTTAAAAACTTAGCCGGGCATGGTGGCATGCGCCTGTACTCACCACTACTCAGGAGGCTAAGGAGGGAGGATTGGTAAAGCTCAGGAGCCTGAGGCTGCAGTGAGCCCTGATTGGACCTCTGCACTCCAGCCTGGGAGACAGAGCAAATCCCCCACCCCCGTCTCCAAAAGAAAAAAGAAAGAAAGAAAAAAGAGTGTGACTCTGACGCCTGACTATTGGCTTCAAACCCAGCTCTACATTTACTATTTATGAGACTGGTCTTTCTTGCCAGTGTTTTACCAGGACTTTGCCTGAACCATAGTAGATGCTAAGCAAATACTGGCTTCATTATTGATGGCTGCCCCACAAAACCCTTGGTGGCCAGGCTGCCTCTGACTCAATGCTCTTTGTGAGCAGCCCTAGGTGATCAGTTAGTTCAAATTTACTTTTGTTTATAATGCTAAGCCTGAAATTGGTAAACTGATCATTAATTCTGGGCTGTTCTAGAAGAATCCAGATTACAAGCACATCCCTTGGCTTTATAGAACAGAGGTCTGCAAGCTGTATTCTATAGCTCCAGGGTTCTTTGGATGCATTTAGGGCCACGGAGGGGTGAGAGAGAAGTGGAGCGTAGTGAGTTCTGAGTCTCTGCACGCCTTAGCCTTAGTGGTAATAACACTAACAAGCACGTAGACGTCATTTGCTGGGTAACAGACCCCGCTGTCAGCACTTTACACACATGGATTTTATCCCCAGGACAACGCTAAGTGCAAAGTAGGATTGTTCTCACTTGGGGAAACTGAGACACAGGTCAGCAAGTGGCTTGGTCAAAGTCACATGAAGACCAGCCCTCAGATCGCCTGAGACTCGCCTCCTCGGTTTCCTTGGCCGCTGCGATGACCAGAATAAAGGCAGATCCGGAGGGCCCGAGGCTCAGGCGGAGGCGTGCTCCGGGGAGCGCACCGGCCAGCAGCTGCTGGTCAACCAGAACCCCATCGCGCAGCCTCTGGCTTCTCGCCGCCCCACGCGGAAACTCTACAAACGCATCAAGAAAGCTGTGAAGCAGAAGCAGAGTCGGCGCGGGGTGAAAGAGGTTCAGAAATTTCTCCACAAAGGAGAAAAAGGGGTCATGGTTTTGACAGAAGACACACTGCCCATTGAGGTGTACTGCCATCTCCCAGCCATGTGTGAGGACCGAAATTTGCCGTATGTCAATATCGCCTCTAAGACGCGCCTGGGTGCAGCCTCGGGCTCCAAGCGCCCCACCCATGTGATAATGGTCAAGCCCCAGGAGGCCGACGACGAGTGCCTGGGGGAGGTGCAGTCCCTGCCCCTGGCCCTGTGAGGGACCCCGTAGCACCTGGGCACCTGCTTCTGGAAGCTACTGGGCTGGCGGGGGGATGACTGGCTGTCCTGCCCACCCACACTGTCCGCATCTTCCCAGGCAGCTCTCACAGCCCAGTCATGAAGGCAACGCCCACCTTGTCTTCATCAGGGCCATTTCCTGTGGAACTTAGTAAAGGCTGTTCGGATAATGTGGGGTGGGGAAAGTAAATGCTAAGACAGGGAAAAACAAACAAACAAACAAAAAAACAGCGCTGCTACTCTGGGAGCTTGTGGTCCAGTGGCCAAGACAGACACAGAACAACTAAACATTGGGATGCATTTTTGGAAAGGAGACACGTACAGTCTAAGGGGAAAAAGAGCAAGGGGTTCTCCCTTTCCAGGGAGCTAGGAAGGGCTTCCCTGGAGAAATGCTGTTTAATCCGAGATGGGGAAAGCAGTAAGAACCGGATAAGGAATGGAATTATTTCCTGACCAAAGAAATGGCACCTGGAAAGGGCCCAGTCATTTTCTTGAGTGGAGCTCTGCCTGGTGCAGTGGCTCACACCTACAATCCCAGCACTCGGGGAGGCCAAGGTGGGTGGATAACTTGAGCCCAGGAGTTCGAAACCAGCCTGGTCAACATGGTAAAAGCCCGTCTCTACTAAAAATACAAATATTAGCCTAGCATGGTGGTGCATGCCTGTAGTCCCAGCTACTCCGGAGGCTGAAGCAGGAGAATCATTTGAACCTGGGAGGCAGAGGTTGCAGTGAGCAGAGAGCACACCACAGCACTCCAACCTGGGTGACAGAGCAAAAGAAGAAAGAAGAAGAAGAAGAAGATGAAGAGGGAGGAGGGGGAGGGGAGGGGGAGGGGGAGGGGGGGGGGGGGGGAAGAAAGAACTCTGGAAAGCAGCTGATGTCCAGGGAGTGAGGCTGAATGGCCACAGGAGAGGGCAATGCAGCAAAGAGTGAAGCCTCTAGAGCCAGAGCCGGGCACCAGCAGCTGGGATGCGGGCCAGCTTGCTTGCCTCCAGGTCCTGTGGCCCTGCGTTGCCTGGTCTCTAGATTTATTTCCATGTTCTTATCAACATTTCCTTCAAGAATAGAAAAACGGGCCTCATGGAATGTTTCCAGGAAAAATTAAAAACAGGTGTGATTCATAAGAAACACAAGATCACAAACCCTTTCATCTGTGCACAGCATATTAACACACCTGCCTGTCCTGCCACTGCGTGATCCTGGCATTCTCTCATGGAAAAAAGTGAATTCCTACAGGCCGCTCCCAAAAAAATGTATCAATCAGTGTATTACATCATTTCATTCAAAAAAACAAAGAGGCATTAAAATTTTCCAAAACTGTTGGGTTTTTCCTTTTTTGTAGCTTCTCTTGTTAATGAAGATTTTTTTTAAAGACTAATTCAGTCATTCTGGGTAATGAATTAAGATGCTTATTCAAGATCTCGAAAATATGACAAACATATATGAAGCCGATATGTCACATTTTGAGTTATAGTCAGCCCATTGACTGAAAAAATAAAATAGATTTAATAGAAAATATTTTATACTTCTGTTCTTCCTTTATTTTGCTTAGCTGTTGTATGCCCGATTCATTTATTTTGCCTTTAAAACTAGGCAGTGGAAGTCCAGTACCTGCCTTGGGGTGTGGTGGGAGGAGCCTCACTCTCCACTCAGAGGGAGAGTTCCAGGGCCTTTGCCACCAATAAAAGCTAGGTGACTGGAGTGAGTTGGATGATATGTATGACTTTAAGAGACCCGCTCTCAAATAAAGTTGAAATCAAAAGAAGAAGGAGGAGGGCAAGGAGGAAGAAGAGAAGGAGGAGGAGGAGGAAGAGGAGGAGGAGGAAGAGGAGGAAGAGGAAGAGGTGGAAGAAGAGGAAGAGGAAGAGGAGGAGGAAGAGGAGGAGGAGGAGGAGGAGGAGGAAGAGGAGGAAGAGGAAGAGGAGGAGGAGGAAGAGGAGGAAGAGGAGGAAGAGGAGGAGGAGGAGGAAGAGGAGAAGGAGGAAGAGGAGAAGGAGGAAGAGGAGAAGGAAGAAGAGGAGGAGGAGGAAGAGGAGGAGGAGGAGGAAGAGGAGAAGGAGGAAGAGGAGAAGGAGGAAGAGGAGAAGGAGGAAGAGGAGGAGGAGGAAGAGGAGGAGGAGGAAGAGGAGGAGGAAGAGGTGGAAGAGGAAGAGGAGGAGGAGGAGGAGGAAGAGGAGGAGGAGGAACCAAAACCCTACCACTTAACCTGGATTTAATCCAAAAAGCATTCACTGGCTCCGTGCCCTGTGACCACAACTGTACCGCATCCTTTATAGAGACCACTCTTTTTCTGGAGCAGGACTCACCCAGCTCTCTGAAAAGTTTCTGATCTTAGGAAAAGAAGAAAACCTGCTGGCTTCTACTTTCCCACCTCCACTCTCATCAACACCTCAAACTCTGTGCAGAGGAAAGGAATGTATGCATTGAGCGCAGTCAATTCATAGGCCTCACCCCCTTTTGCTACAGGAGCTGATGTTTGGCTGGTGCCTATTCATTCATCTCGACTGCCAAGGGAAAGCAGGGAGTTGGGGAAAGAGGGAAATGGAAAACAGGAGAGTGGGTCTTCATGGAGCTGCTGGATTCTGGAACACACTCTGGAACCACAGGGCAGCTAAGTCCCTGGACACTTGGGAATGGGGTCCGCGATGACCAGCCTGCACCCCTCCCCCTGCGTAGACCTGGCATTCAGCCACCAGCTTGTGTCCTGACACTACCTCCAGTGGAAAGGAATCAGTGTGGAAGGGCAGAAAGCAACCACGTTTCTCCCACCAAATTTTTGGAGGAAGGACATTAGGAACTAGTGAAATTATTTTGGCTTATCATAAAATGAATTATGTGTTTTTTAAAGAACTGTTTTAATGATAGGTTTAACATTTTTATCTGGATGATAAGCGTTCATGCACCTGCATACTTCAATACATTCATAAAAACCCAAGAGCAATACAAAGCCCTGAATAATAGCAGCAGCTGGCATACATTTTTTTGCCATTCTTTTCTCAAAAACATAGTTCTGATTATTTATAGATAATAACGCATGTTATTCACCTTTCTACCAGAAAATTAACAGAGTTAACTAAAATACATGATTTATGGGGCCATTCCTGAATAGAAAATAAAAGAAGCATTCACATTTATAAAAATAAAGCCTGTAACATTGAATAAGGTACAGATATTTCTCATTTGAAAGAACATTTTAAAACCTAGTAATATCAGTCTAATATCATATGGTCTTTGAAGAGAAGCTTTACATCTGATGTATCCTTGAAACCCCCTGGAACCTAGCAACATTACTTGGTGAAAATTGGTTAAATAAATGAATAAACCACAAAACAAAAAGCTCCCCCACCACCACCACCACAAGATAGGGAAGGCCATTAAACACTGGAATCAGGAACTGCAAGCCAAGCTAATTTAGAAGAACCTTACAGGATAATTCTAGTAATCCTCCAGTTTTTGTGGTTGTAAATGTTCCTGGAGAGTTTCTGTTAAAGATACAGAAAACTCTCGTCACTTCCCACTCATAGCAGATTTTGATTCAGTAAGTCTGGTGCCGTACCCAGGACTCCATATATATAAATTTTTTTTTTTTGAGACAGAGTCCCACTCCATCACCCAGGCTGGAGTGCAGTGGTGTGATCTCGGCTCACTGCAACCTCCGCCTCCCGCGTTCAGGTGATTCTCCTGCCTCAGCCTCCCGAGTAGCTGGAATTACAGGTGCCAGCCACCACACCTGGCTAATTTTTGTATTTTTGCAGAGATGGGGTTTCACCATTTTGGTCAGGCTGGTCTCGAACTCCTGACCTCGTGATCTACCCGCCTAGGCCTCCCAAAGTGTTGGGACTACAGGCATGAGCCACTGTGCCTGGCCCGACTCTGCATTTTAACTAAGACCCTAGGATTCCTACCATAAATTGAGGAGCGTCACTTTAGGGGGGGCGCTCAACAATTCCAGGCATAGTCTCCTGATGAAAGTGGCTTAGCCAGGCGTGGTGGCTCACACCTGTAACCCCAGCACTTTGAGAGACTGAGGCGGGTGGATCACTCTGAGGTCAGGAGTTTGAGACCAGCCTGGCCAACATAGCAAAACCCCATCTCTACTAAAAGTACAAAAATTAGCCGGGCGTGGTGGCCGGCACCTGTAATCCCAGCTACTGGGGAGGCTGAGGCAGGGGAATCGCTTGAACTCATGAGGCGGAGGTTGCAGTGAGCAAAGATCGCACCACTGCACTCCAGCCTGAGCCACCAGAGTGAGACTCCATCTCAAAAAAAAATACAATTAAAAAGGAAGTGCCTGCCTGAAGGTAAGCTGCGGAGGCCCAGCACCCAGGGCTACCACCTCCTGATTTTATACCACCAGGCAGCGACTTCATCTCAGGGTGCTTCAGTTTCCATATCTGCAAACTTGGGTATAAGGATAGCAGCTGACTACTGTAAGGCCGGTTGCCTCTCTGGAAGGTTGGACACGCCCACCTCTGCACCCGGCACCAGGCTCTGCACCCGGCACCAGGCTCTGCACCCGGCACCAGGCTCTGCACTCGGCACCTAGCTCTGCCGCAGGGCTCCCCTGAAAGGCTCCAGCTGATGCAAGGCTCCTGGCCGGCTCTCCCACCGGAAAACCCGCCCAAAAACCCTCCAACCAATAGCGGCCTGCCCCGTCTCAATCCCGCTCCCCTGGAGCCAATCAGAACACCCAGCTGTTGCTCCTTCCTCCTAGCCATAAAAACCCCACGCCTGGGAAGTTGGTGCCACTTCCCTGACCCCTTCCCCCAGGACCATGGAACCTCACCCGGGAGCTGAATAAATTGACATTTAATTTTTTATGCTGGTCTCAGTTTCCTCATTCTAAACTCGGCAATAACCCTTACTTTAATAATCAATTATTAAAGTATCTAAAATCGTACAGTGTTAGGTCCAGTCCAGGTGTAGGCCCTTCAGCCATACTAAAACTGATATGAGGAGTCGGTTTGCTTGTACACCATTTCTTAAACACAAAATATGCCTGGGGTGAATCGTGTTCTCCCGAAAGTCATGAGTTGAAGTCCTACCCCTAGTATCTCAGAGTGTCCATATTTGGAGATAGGGTCTTTACAGAGGTGATTAAGAAAACCTGCGGTCATGAGGCTGAGCCCTAATCTAATGTGACTGGGGTCCTTTCAAGATGAGAAAATTTGGACACAGACAGACACAT